TGAAGAAGAAGAAATAAGTAGATAAATAAGAAAAAGAAAGAGGAGAGTAAGATAAGAATAAATAGGAGGAGGTGAAAAATAAAGAGAAGGAGGGAAGTTGAAGGTGAAGAAGAAGTAAAAGGAAGAATGGGAAAAGGAGGCAGAAGAAGGAGGAGTAAGACATGTGAGGTGGGATGATGAGGAGGAGGAGGAAGAAGTAAGTGGAAAAAGAAGGAGGAGGAGGAAGAGGAAAAAGAGAAGGAAGATAGAGGAGGAGAAAAGAAAAGAATAAAAAAAAAATATTTGATTTTTAATATAATTAGATCTGTAATTCTTTATATGATTTTATTATTAAGAGCTATGAAGAACAGGAAATTGTGGAGAGCCATGATTGCCAATATCCTTAAGAGACACAACACATAGAAGATGACTTGATTCTTAATACAATTTTATCTTTATATAAATTTTATAATAATTTTATATATTTGATTTTTAATATAATTTTAAATTTTTTTCCTTACCTGATTTTATACTTATTTAATTGATCCTAAATATATTTTTCTATTTAATTCATTTATTATGCAATTTTATATTTATTTTGATACATATTTTATATTTATAGTTTTATATTTATATGATGTATATTAAATTCATGTACAAAAATAAGACAAAGAGAAGTGTTAAATACAAAAAATTATTGTAAATGCAATAAAATCTGCACTTTCTGTTGTGATGGCGATTTTTTTTTAAAGCATGAACAAACACACTCTGTTATAGTTATTTTCAAATTTTAAGTTCATCTGTTGAAATTATGGAATTTTTTGCAGAATGGGAGCTGACCAGAAATTGTTAGAAATGTAAGATAGCATTAAATGTTTGTTATATGCGCTTTAACATATTGTTACTATATTCGTAATAAATTTTTTTGAGTGATGTTTAGTTGATTTTGATATAGAGGCCCTCAAGAATCTGAAGTTTTTGCTTATTATTTTCATGATATTGGTGTTGTCAACAAATATTTTCTAGTATTTTGAAGGTGGACAGGAATGTTTTTAGATGTTGTGCAATAGAACTTTTATCTGACAAATAAAGTGTCAGACATTTTGATAATGTTGCGGTCGTCAAGACAACATAGGTACTTACTTTTTTGTCAGAGATACAATCTCCCAAAGATCATTTAAAATGATATACAATGTGGGTCTTTTTCAAAATGGAGAAGAGTTATTAAGCATGATTAATTTGATTTTGATAAATTTAGTATAGTAGGTTTGCTTGTTTATTATTTACTTTATTTATTTATTTGGATGAATGTATTTTACTTGCTTTTGTTTATTTATTTATTTCCTTTATTTTTATTTATTCTTTTCAGTTTTTGCACAGTAGGGTCAGTTGGGCACTGTCTGTGAGAAAAAGAGCACCATGACACAATTCACTCCACCCAAAATTTGAAAACGGCATGATGGACTGCTTGACATTCATGCCAGAAGCTTCAATACAAACATTTCAGAGTGTTTAGGTGTCAATCTGAAGACAGTGCAGAGGATTCAGAAAGAGTTTGATTATTCTAATGGCAATTACAAAGGTATGGAAAATTAGAAAACTAACCCTGATCGTTCTGATAAGAAAAGAACTACCGAATTTGCTAGTGCGGGCCTCAGACTCAACACAAAGGCCTACATCAAGTGCCTTGAGGAGGTAGTGCTGTCCTGGGTCAAGAGGGTAGCTGGCAACAGGGCTCTGCACAATGACACACAAGCAAGAGAACCTAGTCATGGCTGTCAGACAATTTCTGAGAACAAATCAGCCCTTATATCTGACCACCTAACTCCCCAGACAGCAACGTCCTTGATTGTTATGTGTGTGCCACTGTTGAGCGAGAGACCAACAAAACTCCTTGTAACACCAAAAATGAACTGAAGGCAAGGATTATAGCAGCATTTACCAACTTAGACAAGGAGACTGTCCAGAAGAGATGATGGTGATTCCAAAATTGTCTGGAGACTGTGGTTAAAGCCAATGGTGATTTTATTGAATAAATTTACTCTTGTATTTCAAAATATTTTTGTGTCATTTTGATAAATATATGTTTAAAATGAGATGTCAGTGTTATTTTAATTTTTGCATAATTCACATGACAATTTATCCATGGCAGCCTGTATAATGAACAAGATCAGGGGGTGGGGCTTCATTTTTTGTTACTGGGACTTAAAGTCAGCCCAGACCTCAAGTAGAACTTGTACATATGATCCGTTACTAAAGAAGCTGAAAAAAGGGTTAGTTTCTTGTACTGCTGCAGCAAGTACCTGTCTCCTCCTGCTATCCTCTAACTTTACAAGGTTCAGATCAAGCCCAAAATTTAGTACTGCTGTCATACAGTGCTGTTCAATAAAAGTGACTCACCTGATTTTTTTTACTAAATGTTCTCTTCTCTGATGAAACGAAAGTTGAGCTAAATTTAAAGGATAAGCAATCTAAAATCTGAAGAAGAAGCTTTGAAAGCTCTTTGAAGTTAGCAGTAAGTACTGTCAAGCATCCGTTCAGTATAATGTTCTGGGGATGCTTTTCTTTTCATGGAACTGGTTTCTTAAAACCTATTGAAAAGACCCTCAGGAGTGAGCAGTACAAGAGAATTTTAGAGTCTTGTCTGCTCCCTTCTGCTGAAAGGGTGCAAATCAACCCCACCAAGCTCATTTTTATGCAGGATAATGCTCCCTTTCACAAATCAAAATTGATGAAGGAATACTTTGATCAAGAAGCAGTATAGTGTTATGACATGGGTGCCCCAATCACCTGACCTCAACCCCATAGAAAACTTATGGAGCATTATAAAGTACAGGCTCTCGAGAAAGCAGTTGCGCAACATGCACCTGGGGGTCTTTTCAATAGGTTTTAAGAAACCAGTTCCATGAAAAGAAAAGCATCCCCAGAACATTATACTGAACGGATGCTTGACAGTACTTACTGCTAACTTCAAAGAGCTTTCAAAGCTTCTTCTTCAGATTTTAGATTGCTTATCCTTTAAATTTAGCTCAACTTTCGTTTCATCAGAGAAGAGAACATTTAGTAAAAAAAATCAGGTGAGTCACTTTTATTGAACAGCACTGTATATGGGTACTGGCCATTGTTCATTTTTCAGTCTTGATAGAGTCCAAAAGCATCTCCACTTCCTTGTGAGTGATGAATTATTTTCCACCTTAGAACCCCTTTCCCACAGACAAAATGTCACAAGCCCCTTGCTGCTCTATCACTATTTCTATGGAAAGTGTTCACAAGAACTATATTCCTTAGTTCACAGCTTAGACACACCATGTCACACCCATTGTAGTGAAACATCCCCATTCCCTTCATATTCAGTTGGTGAGATATAAGTTTCATTCAAGCTGCTTTTGCCCATAGATAGATAGATAGATAGATAGATATTTGTGGAACTGACTCCCAAAAGAATGCTTCACCAATCACAACACTCTTGCTCTTTTCAAGTCTAGGATTAACTGTTATCTTCCCCACATATCCTCATAAACTGTGTCTCTTACTCTGTAACACACTACTTTGAGTGGCCCCTGAGCCTTGTTCAGGGTTAACATCATTGTAGAAATAAATAAATAAATGAATAATGTCAACTCCTCATCCTAGAAATTAAGGCAGAAAGCAAAGGCATATTGTTTATGTAGGTTTGTCAGGGAGAAAACATAATTGATTCCAACTCAAAAGAAAATGATGTAAAAGAAGAAAGTCATGAAGAAGAAATAGAAATAAGAAAGAAAAATGGAGAAAGAGGAGTAGGAAAAGAAGAAGAAGATTTGAGATTGACTGAAGAAAAAGAAGAAGAAAAAAGGAGAAGAAAATAAAGAAGAAGAAGGTTAGAAATTGACTGAAGAAAAAGAAGAAAAAAAAAGAATGAGGTGAAGGAAATAAAAAAGAATTAGAAGATTTGTGATTGACTGAAAAAGAAGAAAACAGGAGTAGGAAATAAAGACATAGAAGATTTGAGATTGAAGAAAAAGAAGAAAAGGAGTAGGAAATAAGGAAGAAGATTTAAAATTGGTTATAGAAAAGGAGGAATAAAAAGAAGGAAGATGTGAAGAAAATGAAGGAGTAAATGAATAAAAAGAAAAAGAAAAAGAGGAGGAAAAGAAGCAAATGAAGTAGAAATAAAGATGATCAAGAAATAAAAATACAAAGAAGCCTCTTCAATGAAGAATAAAACTCAAAAAAACAAAAAGGGGTAAGAAGGAGAAATGACAATAAGAATTTTATAGATAGCTTCATTGCTATGAAAATGATTTACGTATTTTAGATGAAAACCAGATAACGGCAGAATGTATTTATAGACTTCATAGGTAGACACTCAGTATTTGATTTATTTTTGCTAAGTCGGCAATGGCTGTCTGTAGTGTATTCAGAAGTATGCCGTCAATTAAAAAGTCTTTTGTCTTTTTGTTAGCACCCAATGTATTCAATGCATTAGTCATACAGGGACAGAAAGTACCCGCATATTTTAATATATGGGTCACTATGAAAGTTCTGTCTTCTATTCTATTGATCCCCAACATCAGAAGCAGATGTATGGCAGTACCAATAACCCACTTTATTTTGGCTTTGTTAGAGACAACAGCTAGAAGCAGACTAGCAGAATGGCCTCTGACATGAAAATCTATGCAAAACAGGAGCATGTCATTTAATTTCTTCATGTAGTAAAATTGCACCCACTAGTATTCATTAACACTTTCTGAAGACATAGGAACAGACTGAGATAGATAGATAGATAGATAGATAGATAGATAGATAGATAGATAGATAGATAGATATTAAAAAAGTCCAAGATAGATTTGATAGATAGATAGATAGATATTAAAAAAAAACGATATATTAAAACTGTAATATATAGGTAGATAGATATTAAAAAAAGACTAATATAGTTAGATATTAAAACAGACTGAGATAGATAGATAGATAGATAGATAGATAGATAGATAGATAGATAGATAGATATTAAAAAAGTCCAAGATAGATAGATACATACATACATATATATTAAAAAAGACCGAGACATTAAAACTGTAATATATAGGTAGATATTAAAAAAGACTGAGATAGAGAGATAGATAGATAGATGTTAAAAAGACTGAGATAGATATTAAAAAAGACTGAGATACATCGATAGATAGATATTAAAAAAACTGAGATAGATAGATAGATAGATAGATAGATAGATAGATAGATATTAAAAAGACTGAGATAGCTATTAAAAAAGACTGAGATAGATATGAACAGATTGAGATAGATAGATATATAGATATCACACTGAAATAGATAAATAGATAGATAGATATTAAAACAGTTTTATATATATATATATATATATATATATATATATATATATATATATATATATATATAGAGAGAGAGAGAGAGAGAGAGATAGATATAGGCATGTGGCCAAATGGTTAGAATGTTCATTTTTCGACCATGAATCCCAGGTTTGAATCAGGTCGATTTGTCAGGAGGGTGACTTCTCGACATTATCAGCCTGTGGTGGTGATCCTAGAGTATGGCACCTTTGGAAAGAACCTAAAAACGTCAATACAGATTGACCCAAGCCTTGTGAATGAAACTGGATAAATGGAACTATTTGGAAGATGTCAAAATGGTTGTGCTAGCACAAAGTCACAAGTCATCGTGACCAAGAGTTTGACTGTACTGGCTTTGACCAGACAGTTGATCATGCCAGATAATGCTTTCTCTCCCAGAAACTATAACTAAGGTATGTTCAGCATAGTTGCCATATAAACTACAAATGTGTCTGAGCAGGTATTTGCAACAGGGATTGACTAACCACTCTAATAGACAGGTACACTCAGACATGAACGGACAGCCATTATTATATTATAGATAGATAGGATTTCTGCAATGTGCAGTTATCATTATTTACAATCGAGCAAATACCATTTATTCATTTATTCAGGTATCTTTCAAACCATGTAACCATCAGTGAAGATCGAAATTAACTCATTATTTAATCAATGGAGAGAAGATTGTCCAGGAATGTCTTTAGTAATGTTTTTTTTACTGTTCGGTTTTAATGTTTTTACTATTGTTCAGTTATTGCCTGTCTTGTTTTCTCTAGAGTCTGTTACATTGGAAAATTGCTGAGAGGATAAAAGTGTCAATTCCTGAATTTGGTACCATTGCAAGTTCAATCCCTGGGCCAGGTAGTACAAAATCAGACTTGGTAAAAATAAGGTGATCAATCACTGAGCAAGACTAAAAAAGAAAAAAAAATAGAACAAGGTATCCAATGAAATAGATGGCAAAATGAGAATGCTTTACTCTTGTTGATTAAATAAAGGGATCAGTTTGAAATTCTGGCAAGGTTACATGGATCTGTGGATGCTTGCAGATGATTGGTTGATTCATTTTCATTTATGATTTAGTTGAAAGCCAAGGGCAAATATTTTGATGACTGAATAATGATGCTATGAATTTACATGAATAAAGATAGTTTTGCGAAACTGCTGGAGTTTTTTATGTCAAGCTACCATGACTAAATGTATGATTTACTTGAAAGGTGGCATAAGGTAAACAAAAAAGGGAGATATACTTTGATGACTATGAATTTATGTGAATGAAAACATTTGTTGCAAAACTGCTGGAGACTTTTGCATAAAACTTTTATGATTGAATATATGATTTAGATGAAAGTTGGCATAAGGTAAAAAAAAGGGCAAAATACTTTGATGACTGAATAATGATGCTATGAATTTATGTTCAGATGTAGCACATGGCCAAAAGTATGAGACACCCAGTGAGGATCAAACTTAGTTATATGCCATGCATGATACACACTTAGGTACATTTGATGCATGACTAACGAGGCAGATTTTTTTCCTGAAGTAGGTTGCCATTTCTTTCTGCAGTAGACCAGTTGCCATCCAAAGCTAAAGAACCAGATCTGTCCTACTATTTACCCATAGCTGGGGAAGAAGAAGAGGATTCATACCTTTCCCAAGGGTATTAGTTCATAAGTGAATATAATGGATTCAACTGAAATTTGAACTCGGCTCTCCGATTACTCAATCTGAGCCATTATCCATTAGTCCACTGTACCTCTATGCCTCAAACTAACTATTCAGTCTTAATTGTTCTAGTGAGAAACACTTGCTAACCATTACACCACGTCGAGGTGACCTAATGCTATGAATTTGTGTGAATTAAGATGTTTTTTGGCAAAACTGCTGGAGACTTTTGCATAAAGCTTATATGATTGAATATATGATTTGTCTAAAAGGTAATGTGAGGACAAAGGAAGTAAAAAAAAAAAATTAATGCAGACTGAATTATGAGATTTTGAATTGATATAAATAAAAAATGTTGCCAAAAATTTCTGAAGATTACTAAATGGTTAAGATATAAATATTTAAAAGAAAAAATTTTATTGCAAAAAGAAAAATTTTTTTACTCTACTATTTTTATCATATGGGACAATAGCCTAGTTGATTAAAGCATTGGCTCATTAATTCAGTGACATGGTGATTGTGAGTTCAATCTCTTAGCTGAGCAGTACATGTACTCAAAGTCAGTGGAAACAGGCTTGGCAATAATTGAGTAGTACTAAAAATAATAACTAAATAAGATCTTCCTAGACATGGACAGTGGAATGAGAATAGTTTACCTCCATAGATAGATAGATAGACAGACTGATATTAAAAAGACTGAGATAGATAAATATTTAAAAAGACTGAGATAGATAGATATGAACAGATTGCAAATCAAACAGGTAAGAAGACAAAAGAATTCACAAACTATGAATTGGTGTTTGTACACAAAAGCAAGGTTGGACAAGTGAACACTGTAGTACTGTCTAGTAGTTAAGGCAGATCTGGACTGAGTCATGTCAAAATTCAAGGCATCCCAATTTATTGACTAAGAAAAAATATCCCAGTATGCATTTCATGTATTTCTGACTATAAGAGAGGGAGGGGGAGAATTATTGCAATCATTCTCATGCTTATTGGGAAATCAACAGATATTCACCTTATGAAAGCCATAAGGCACAATGCCCGAAACATGGTAACAACAACAACACAGATAAGAACAATTGTCTGAGTGTAAATAATTTTTACCTTTCTTCTAAAATAACAGGTCCTGGCTTATGGCCTGTGATTGGTTAGTGTTTGAGCCCATACAAATGCAAGAATTTTAAATGCTGATTTTCAATGCAGATACACAAGTTGTTCCAAGTTGGAAGTCTAGAAAACAATCTTGTGCCAGTCAAACTTCTTAAATATCTTTGGAGAGAACTCTATAGGTTTGATTATTACACATTCTCAGGATTCATTAATTTGTTGCAGATTAGATTTTCTCAGTGTGTATGAGTATTAAAGTTCCTTGTATGTAGTTGTTAGATAAAATGAAAAAAAAATGTGATTTTTTTTCACATGTATATGTGAAAAAGAGTGTCAAGATAGAACATGAGGAGAAAAGTGTAAGTGTCATGTAGCTTGGTGAGGAAAAGTGTAAGTGTCACATAGTGAGACGACAGGTGAACGTCACATAGCTTGCTGACGAAGAATGTAAGTATCACATAGCTTTGTGAGGAAGATGAGTGAATGACTAAGAGAATCTCTGTCATGTCATGAATCTGTTGTCGTATATTGCTGCTCCTTCTCCTTACTGGCTTGCCTGGCATGGTGACTTTGCTTATATACTCTTCAATGGGATAATGAAACCTGTTTTTCATTTGTCAGCAGGAAAGTGACCCAGTGGTTGAAAAATGTTAAATATTTATTATCAAAGGATTAATTTATTAACCAGAAGGATGCACAAATTCTCCAACTCAGCAAGTATTTTTTGTCATTCAATGTTTGCCTGTTTTGGTGTACATTTCTGTCCTCACTCCACTAATTACACAGGTTGGCAAAATGAAAATTTTAATCATTACAGTTGAAAGATTATGTTTCTTAGTCAATCTTTCATAATGATTACAAATCTGAAGTCAGTTATTCTTTATCAGATCAAATTTTTATGCTATTCATACCTGCAGTTTTCACATTTGGATATGTAATTCAGGTTTTCATCCATATACTCATACCTGCAGTTTTCATGTTTCTGTACATAATTCATGTACTCATACAAGATATGGCATTTTTGTGGCCATTTACTGTACAAAATTTAAACTATAGTGAGCAAAATAAAGCTATAATAATCTCTTCTGAATTATAATAATAATCTCTATTGAATTAAAATCTTTGGGATTTAGATATTCTCTTGTGCTTAATCTCAGGTTCATCCCCATATAACATCCAGCAGTAGTAAATTAGCATTGCATAATTCCCAAATCCTTGGTATCATTGCTATATTGATGCTGTCTTGATGAATGTGTTCCCCTTGCTCATCAGACACTGCTCCAAGGTTCTCTGTAAAAAATGTCCAGATGTTAATCATGAATCAATGGACTTTCAGTGACATCTGACAGCCCATTGCTGCAAAAGACTCTACAAGACCTTTTACTCCATTTCTAAAATGCTGAGATCTCTTGTTACCCAAAGATTTTCACAGATTCAGTTGAAGGATTCTTGGGTTTTAAGTTCAATCTCATCCAGTTTTTTGTTGAAGTTGTCCTTGAGGAGTTTCTCTATCTATAGACATGCTAAAAAGTCTTCATTCAGTTTTGCCTCAACCATTCTGGAGAACTTGACCTTCACTTATCCAAAGGATTCCGGGTTCTTCCTGGCAAGTATCTTCACATATTGTTTCATAAGCCCAAGCTTTATGTGAAGAGTAGAGAAGAACAACATTTTCTGGCTTTACTAATGGCTTACTCTGAGCATTAGAGACTACTAGCTCATATGATTCACACTGGGGCCACTGATTGCATGTAGAGTAACAATATTTCATGAACCCTGACTGCATTTCTATCAGCATTCTGACCACCTTTAACTCTCCATATATATTCCAGTTATATGCTGAGTTCTTTATGGCACCGAGGAGTACCTGCATGTTCTCATAATATTCCTTCATG